CTAGACACTTAGTGAGCTTAGGTGCGTTTTGTTAACATAACCTATATATTATCACCATCTCACCTATTTCTGCCGCAAAGCAATAGTGGGCCATATAGCGCATAAGCCATTATAAGACTAAAATTGAATAACTAAAGATGAAAGCTAATCGTATTCTCATTTTATTAACAGAAAAAAGCGTTAATATCGAGCGGGTGAAATGATGAGAAACCAACAAGCTGTCACACCGGCACAAACCGGTCACTAAAACGTAGTAGGGATGTAGCAAACATGTTTTGTATTTTATAAAGAACTGTATAGAGAAAAACAGCGAATTGTAAATTATAAAAATATTCACTGCCCACCACTACTTGACTTGTTGATTATAGATGCAGCAAAATGAATGCCGATCTTATAATGAGACTCCAGGCGGAAGTCAATCATAGTGAAAAAACACTTCCCACCTACCGTCAAAAAGCGCAGAATTTGCAAAAACCGCCTCACTGCATAAATGGTTTGGCTACATAATAATATGTATATACATAACAACACAACCAGTCAGTTCTTGCTTTTAATTTTTCTGTACAAATATAATTCTTCACCGATGTGGAGTAAAAATGTGGATATGGAATAATGTTTTTTTTACTAAGAAAAAACTCTGACCGTCAGCACAGTATTCCGAAATTTACGTCTATTGCTTTTCTTTCTGGGTTTGGTATCTAGCAACTATTAATGATTTTCTGAAATCTTATATCACATAATTATTTTTATACTAGCTGTACCCGCTCGCTTCGCTGGGTATTTAAAATTAACATTATTACATATTAAGCGATAAGTATTATGTTATTATTATATTATCATTAACACCCCCGCAACGATTCACATCATTAACGCGCCTGCAACTGGTGTAGGGAGTCCAACACTCACATTAATATTAGCCTATCCATCAGTACATGTATTTTCTACATGGATACCAAGTTTCAAGTCAATCGAATGCATGGTTCAGTAGTTATAACGGAACATCCGTAAAAACCACTGTAGATTTATATATTAGTATAGATAAAAAACATATTTTAAGACATCCCTACATCGAAGATGTGGCTTGTACGGCGGCCTGCGGCACCGTCTATGGCCGCGCACCACATGTTTACATTACTACTTTCATTTTGATGGCAACTTTCACTCTACGTCGTTCCCAAAACTGCGAATGCAAAACGTTAATCGACTGCTAATTTCACATGTTCGAATTTCAAAGACTGTAGACACAGACACCTTCGTCTAAAATGGGAGTTCGAAATCGGAGTCTTAAGCTTTTATATGTACACAAGCATTTAGTTTATGGAACATGTGGCAGGTCGGATAGAGGAAACCGCAGTCGTGTGTTCTGCTTTAAATAGTGGGATAGCCTTTGTCTAAGACTTTGACCTCATATCTCAAAGTGAAGAGCAGTATTCAAGTCGTGATGTTTATGCACTCCTGTGACCACTTAAAACCTATGAAATAAAAAAATAATGTGCAATAAATTATATTCTCATTATTTTATTTTTGATAGGTATTATTGTTATACATGTCAACAGTTCCTTGTAGGTAACTGAAACTTCTGTAAGATAAACTTCTATAAGCAAACACTGATGTGAGAGTTTGTATGCTCTCTGGCTATATGATTTAAAATGTTAAGTATTTGTAATAACTTACAAACTAATAACTTAAATTTTTTTTCGATAGTAATATAAAATTCTATATTATCCAGACAACTGTATGAAAAAAAGATGTAATCCACCTTACATACCTAATTATGATTATGCTTTATTCTGTGGGACGATCCTGGGCAAGAACCAAAAATGTTTACTAATTATTTGTGTATCTAAGCATTGGAACCCGAAATAATGAAATAAAACATTTCTAAAATGCTAACAAAGTGTAACGTAAAATTTATTTAAAAAAATATATTCAATTTTTGCCCCTTAGTATAAATAAAACTACCTACCATCAGTGGGCAAGTCAGTTATTGATCGTTCTTATCGGTCATTCAGTCCAAGTAATTGAAGTTGCCTTAACCTTTGAAAGGCCACACCTAATTTATTATTCTACATAATATTTTATTGCAGCATATTTTTTTTTATTTTATACTTTAGACGTACACTTATTTTTCTGTTAATTTGTAAATAATTACTTCAGCGGTTTGTTTAAACAATAGCCCCGATATATGTACGAGTATATCACGATCAATCGTCGAGTAATAAGTGGTATTGTTCTCAGAACACTAAATTTTAAATTTACATTAGTATATTTACACTCGGGAAATAATCCAATGGAGCCTTATGTCATCATCAAATTAATTCATCTGGTCAACGGTAATAGTATGTCTCATTCAGGTACCTACATGCATAAATGTAACAATTGAAATACAGACCAGCTTTCGTTTAATACATTTTTTTATGATACCATTTACATACATTTTCGTGTTAACTATGGGCAATTTCACCCAATTCCGGTAACAGCTTAGTAGCAGACTCAAACTCGTCGAATGCGAGGGGGGTTCGATAATAATAATTCAGAGATTGAAAACCCACTGAATTTCTCGCTGGATCTTCTCAACAAATCGTGATTCCGAACTTATGGTAGATTTAGTGAAGCGCTGCTCTTACTAATACAGATGTTAGCAAAATCTCAGAGGCTGAGCCCAGTGAGCTCGCCTATCAGGCCGGAGATGCCGCAATAGTCCCTGGAGGCTACTAGTGCTACGAGTGATTTAAGTAGGAAAAAAAGAACCTTGGGACTTAAGATTGAAGTCTACATGGTTCCAAAAAGTGTTTATTGCCCATCAAACCAGAAGATTGATGAAAATGATTATCGACCAAAATAGCTAAGATATAAAATACTACTGCTACTATTACTACTACTACTACGATACGATAGAGAATTAGTAACAACTGTTACGTGTTCGATGCGACCGAGATTGAACACCCAGCCATAGTCTTCTGATCGATAGCGTAGATACTGTTATCATTAAATTCCTCTAGCCACGAATACGATCAATAATTATTATGGGACAGACATTCTCAAAGTTCTCCACGGAAGTTTTCACTTTTAACCTACGCTAATTTTGATTTCCTGCTACGTTATCGCTTTAACTGGATATACAGAGTTAAAGAATTTATGTCTGTGAGATGGAGAAGATTAATTAGATCAACTCAATTAGTGCAATTGACGTTAACAATCTAGAATGTTCCGTACATGAATTACGTCATATTTTTACAAATTGAAGAATTTGTTAGAGCTATTTTTTACTTCTAAGATAAACATGGACAACTTTATTTTGTATCAAATTTAATTGTTATAGTATTAAACACCTACGTGTGGTTACGACGGCTTCGTCCGTGTATGGTTGACGATATATATATTCGTGTCGTGAGCAAGGAAGGACGAACGATGATATCAGCAAGTAGGCTGCTCAAAGGCGTTGGCGAGTTAAACTCGCTACATATCAAGTCATGATTCATAATGTCTTCAAATAATTACCACTAATGGTTAGTTTATATCTTATCCAGAACTGCGTTTCGGTTTAAAGGGTGGGGTAGCCGTTGTAACTATACTGAAACCTTAGAACTTATATCTCAAGGTGAGTGGGGCATTTAGGTTGTAGATGTCTATGGGCTCCAGTGACCATTTAACACCAGGTGGGCTGTGAGCTCGTCCACTCATCTAAGCAATAATAAAAAAATTATTAAAAAAAAAATTTACAGATTTTGTGTGCCGTATCCCGTTGTACCGACTGGATATTTAACAAAAAATGCTTACGTTCAAAATTATATTTTATAATTTTTGCGCTCACGTAGGTACGTGACCTTCAGTACGAGACATTCCGTTAAAGCATGTATAACATGTATAACATACGAGTCGCCACTGACTTATTAATATAGAGATCTTGCAGTCTTTGATTCATTGAAAATTTGACTGTTCAGAATGAAAATAATTTCGAAAGCAATTTAAGTTTCCAAAATGAAACGTTTCTAAATTTAACATGTTTTTTTTTGATGATTCATTTTTCGATAACACTGTGATTAGATAAAGACCACAAAAACTATGTTTACGAACATTATTTTTTTATTCTTAAAACTCGAATGCAAAATTTATTTTGTTCAAAGGTCTTTTTTTTTTTGATAAATAATATAGATTCGTACGTAAAGTAATAAAAATATATTAAAATAAAAACTGAGTAATGTTCATCTTCCTTAATTGGATACTAGTTTAGAAGAATACCTACTACATTGTGAACAATCACTTTTATACGATAGAGAAAATTGTAAATTAATTATGTTTTTATTTTGTCCACGTGCATGTTAAAAATATAGGAGATTTATTATTTTAATTTCTTCAAAAATATTTTTAAAATGAGTGTACCGCCAGGCAAACAGAATGCTGTTCGCTTTCATCCTCATAGAATTAGCTATATGCATTAATGAAAACTACTTCTCTGTATCTTTATTGATTAAATCTGTGAGCTTTTGTATTTGGTGAACTTTAACTGCCGAGGATTAAATTGGGCTTAAAACTTTTTTCATCTCACTCATGTCAGTTGAGTGAAGGAAGTCCAAATATCTCACTATTAAGTATATATAAATAACTACTGCGTCAAAACCTTGTTGACCTCCATAAAACTAGTAAAAAGCATTCTCTAGCACGACCTCAATAGTATCACAATTCAACGGAATCCGTCTATCTATTGTTTCCTTAACCCGTGCCTTATATTCTGAAAATTATAAATAATGTTTGTTCATATCTTAACACTGCCAAAGCTACAACAAATTGTCAAAACTAAGACATGATATTCAAGGAAATCATAAAACAGTAGAAGTCAAAACCCACAACAGGTTTCCACGTCTTTGATTTTCTCGACAATAAACACAAAAAACGTTCTCCAAGGAAAACGTTCATTAGATATAACATTATAAATATTATAGCTATTTACTTAGGTGGAATAATAATTTGAATTTAATAATAATGAATTAATTACTAACCAACTGAATTATTTTGAGCAAGCCAGGTGGGGTTTTGAAGTAGTCGACGTTGATTTTAATCCAGTCGAGTGCACCGCCTTGTGGAGGAGGTGCCGCAGCAGGTTTGTTATGGTCCACAGTTACTACTGTCTCGGGTGCCATCATTCTCTGAATTAAACGCGATAACCTTCAATAATCTACGCAGATTTATATGTATGTAGCACTATCACTGTTAAGTTAGCACTCAGTGGACGCCACAAACATTCCGGTCGTAATCGGTCGTACACACAGTGCGGCGACAGCGAGCGTAGTACGATCAGTTGATACAAGACACAACGGACGACTAGCGGCGTCGAAACAGAATGGCGGGGAACAAGAATGTTCTTTGGGTGACTGTAGTCGTTCGGTGACGGCATTCACGAGCTCTCCTAGACCGGTGACGGAATGCCACATATTTATTATTAGTTCCAAGCAATAAGTTGTAATTTTCATGTTAAAAAATGATCCACGTTAATGCTACGATATCCTACAACCAATTTTTAATCTTATTATTTCGCACATTTTTATTTATTGCTAAGATGGATAAACGAACTCACGGCTCAACTGATTTAAAGTGGTTACCGGAGCCAACATAAATCTTAACGTGGATACCATCTCGAGACATAGGATAGGCCCAATTATGTCATATTGCTTCGTGGCAGAAATAGGCACGATAATGGTACCTATCCGTGCACTAAAATTACCCATAAACAACAACTGCAATTCAAAAAATGGCATTATGTGGCACGTGATTATTATGCAACTTCAAAGTCTACAGAGTTGTATTTAAACTTGTTAGATTCACTGTTTTAATTCTATTATCATTTTAGTTTGTACCAACTTGTTTCTAATATGAATTATTTATCGACAACTACTAGGGTGTGGCAGGTTTACGTCACATGTAGCCCTCACATTTCCGTTGACAAGGGACGGCGGAGACCACTTCCCAGTCTACGAAAAATATGCATATTGATAATAAAATGACCTCTGTGGTAGGTAGCCTATATCTATTGCGGGAAGTAGCGGTCACCACTAATGAGCATTTAGACGTGTAATTGGGCTCCAATCGTATATTCGTAATCGTATCGACATCTTTTAATCCTATTATAATCAGTCGTCTAATACACTTGCGCATTACGCATCGGAGTTGATTACGCTGGTGTGCAGGCGACGCCTGATTAGGGAAATCCCAGTGTGCTTAGTGCGAACTTTTTAACGTTCTCGATAGCGTAAAAGTTAACTAAGATTTGAATGCAGTTGGAACAGCGCCCCTAGCGGCAAACGTACGTAAACGTTCCAAGTCCCTATTTGGGCCGGGGGCCGAACCTCCTACGAGGTCCCCACGCCGAAGTGGGCCCGCGGGGTATGTGGGACTTGACGATCTGCTGATGTTGGGAGCAGACCAAATCAAACCCGCAAAATTATAATTTGCGTAATTACTCGTGGTAGGACCTCTTATGAGTCCGCGCGGGTAGGTACCACCGCCTTACCTATTTCTGTCGTGAAGCAGTAATGTGTTTCGGTCTGAAGGGTAGGGCAACCGTTGTAACTATATTGAGATCTTAGAACTTATATCTCAAGGTGGGTGGCGCATTTACGTTGTGAATGTCTATGGGCTCCAGTAACCACTTAACACCAGGTGGGCTGTGAGCTCGTCCAACCATCTAAGCAATAAAAAAAAAGACCACAGGCCCAAGAAGTTTTAGGGCCCTACCGCACTAAACGACTCCCCTGCACTCTTACACCCGACGTCCGATCTCCGTCCTGGGTCAGAACCCGATCAGAGTAGGGGGGTTCCCGCGGTCAGCACTACCACCAGACTCGCGGCGCCACCCCGAGGACGCTCGACCAACCGACCTTCTTCCGCGAGATGGTGAACTCGCAGAAGTCGAGCATCGCCTGCCAGGACTGGTCCCTGCCGAGCATCGCAGCCACGACTTCGAAAGCGACAAGTCCGGTCCTATTTTTGCAACGAGGACGCGGCGCTACTCCGCGAAAGCGGGGCAGTACGCGAGTGTGTGCTCCGCCGTGTCCACGTTGCAGCCACTGCAGTGATGGCACTTCGGCGTCGGCTCCCTCCGGAACTCCCTACAAATTTGAGTTAACTTTTACCCAATCGAAAAAGTTAAAAAACTCTCAAGCACGCAGATTAATATTTTTTAAGTACAGAGGGCTACTATCCTTAAATTCTCTTATTTTTTATTTTATTGAACCTACAAGCAGAGGCTTTAAGTGAAAGTTATGTATGAAAGTTAATTAACATCAATTCTAAAAATAGCTTGAGCGGGAACGAAAAACGAAAAAGAGAGTCCGGAAAAAAATTAAAAAGTTACCTAAGTTAAACTACTAGTTAGTAAAGTACTAGAAAACTAATCATTACGGAAACGGGATGGATGAGCTGGAGAGAGTCAATGTGTGTACGGTCCACGTGGGCAATGCACAGGTTATGACGGAATTTATGCAGTTTTGTAGTGTCACCTTGTTACGAAGGCACAGTTTACTTCGCTTGCAAATCATGAGGCAGAATTAACTTAGTAGGAACGCGGCTCGGTCGCGTCACTGTCATATGTGGGGACAGAATGTGATCCCGCTATCGAGGGTGATGCCTAAATACTTAGTCTTCGAGGCCCACGGTTTGAGCTGGCCAAAGATTTTGATAGCTTACATTTTTACGTATCAACCGTGTCGCGCTAACGCAAAGTAACATTCCGATGCTGTCTTGATATGCTTACGAATGGACTCGAGAGGCCAATTGCGTTCTGAAATGTCACATTTCTTGAACAATTGCAATTTTTTTGCCCACCTATATGCCAGTAGCTTCAAGAAGCTACTTTCACCCTGACTGATGAGCGAGCTCACGGAGCTCAACCTGAAAGAGTTTGCTAACATCTACCCTAGAAAAAGCAAGGTTTTTCTGAACCGGATTGAAATCGCCACCCACTGCAAGAATCCGGCAAGAAACCCAGTGACATGTGTATGGAATTAAGTTGCACGTCGAAATCTTAAGATGCATTTGAAGAGTTCGACGATAATGGTGATCAATACTTAGAACAATGCACCACGAATGGATCAAGAAGATCACCTCGAGATCGAGAGGACGCCTTGCCTTCCTGCTGACGCAGATGCTTACCGGCCACGGTTGTTTCGGCTGGTACTTACACCGCGTCGTCCGGAGAACTGACAGCGCGCCGCCATCATCGAGGTTGTGGAAGAAGACCAACGTGGCATCCAACCGTTCTGACTATGATGGTCGGCAGGGACGCATTCTAGGAGGCGATGCTCGACTTCTGCAAGACCACTGAGAGACAGAGAGAGAGAGAGCTCTTACCTCTCCGCACCGACTCGTCGCCGCCGAGCCCGAAGCCAGAGGAAACAATACGTACCTGCAGGGATGGATAGGCCTTACCCACTCAAGGCCACGGGCGACTTGAGGGGGTTTAGCCCACTGAGTTTCTCGGCGGGTCTTCACAGTGGGTCGCGTTTCCGATCCGGTGGTAGATTCTGCGAAGCACTGCTCTTGCTAGGGCCAGTGTTAGCAACACTCCTGGTGCAAACTATCAATCTGAAGCTCGATCTGTAGTGTATGGAGTGCCACAAACAAGGGCGGATCCAGCTTTGGCGCCAGGAGGGGGTCACATAGTCAAATTTAGATGCGTTAGTTCCCAAACGTTTGCCATTATACAAAGTTATTATATTATATTAAATTAATTAAATATTGAAGGTATGTAGTTACATAAAATCTGTATGGTGACAAAATATATAAATAAAATCATTATATTCAATTAGTGGTCCACCTAAGTCCTGGACCCAGCTCAGGGGGTGGTCATGACCCCCATGACCCTCCCCCTGGATCCGCCATTGNGTTCCCAAACGTTTGCCATTATACAAAGTTATTATATTATATTAAATTAATTAAATATTGAAGGTATGTAGTTACATAAAATCTGTATGGTGACAAAATATATAAATAAAATCATTATATTCAATTAGTGGTCCACCTAAGTCCTGGACCCAGCTCAGGGGGTGGTCATGACCCCCATGACCCTCCCCCTGGATCCGCCATTGGCCACAAGGTAATGTTTTAGGGCCACTTTTGTTTATCATATATATTAATGACCTACCTAAAGTAATCAACCATCCAATGGTCCTATATGCCGATGACAGTACAGTGTCTATCGCGTCTAAAAATAATACAGATCATGAAAGCGAGATTAATAAGACACTTTCTTCTATCATAACTTGGCTTGACAGTAATAACTTAAAAATAAATTTAAAAAAGACTTTGGTTATGCATTTTAGTCAAAGAAACAATCACTCTGACATTAAGGCTACTTACCAAAACACTGTAATCGGTACAGCTGATTCAGCTAAATTTTTAGGTGTTGTTATAGATAAGCAGTTGAAATGGAAATCGCATATAGCTGAGCTAAGTAAAAAATTGGGCAGTGCAGCTTACGCTCTTTATAAAATATCACCAACACTGGATCTGGATGGTGTTATAACCGCTTATTACGGATTAGTAGAACCCATTTTACGCTATGGTGTTATATTTTGGGGAAACTCTACGGACGTTGATATGGCGTTTAAGGGTCAAAAACGCTGTATTAGATCTATGTTCAAATTGCAAAGTATAGAGTTGTAAAGAGTACTTTATTAAACACAATATACTAACACTTCCGTGTCTCTATATTTTTGAAATTATTTTGTTTGTAAAAAATAACTGTAAATTGTTTAAAACCACGGGTGAAGTTTCGCAACGTAACCGGCGCGGCGCGACCAAAATAAATTGTGTTTGCACTGTGCTAAGACAACTCTTATGCAAAAAAGTATACTGTGTATGGCACCGAAATTAAATAATAAGCTACCTGATGCTATGAAAAAAGACAAATTATTTTTGTTTAAAGAGTATTTGAAAAAATTATTAACCTTAAGATGCTTATTATACAGTTAACGATTTCTTAAATGATAAATCATTATGTTAATTTTATGTTCGCTTCTTACTGTTCTTTGTTTTCGTTTTATCACTGAAATAACTAATTCTTATTCAATTAATTTATTTGTTGTTTGTTATTTTAATTAATTAATAATGTAAATAATTTTGAATAATATTTGCACGCCGACCTGGTAGAAACACGCTGTTCTATAAAATAACTAACAAGTATCAACAACTTTGTAAACCGTGTTTTAGCTAATAAAATTTGATTTGATTTGATTTGAGCCCTGTGAGCTCCCCTACACGTCAAGAAGCTGAAATAGCCTCTCAAGGCTATAAGCATAACTAGAAAAAAAAGGGGGTTCTGGGGAGGCTGCGCAGTGCGCTTCCAGCGCTGGTGGTGCCTACTAAGTAATCCATTAAATTTTGGAAAGTTTGTACATTTTATTGAAACCAAATATTCAATGAAACAAATTAAATGTTAAAAACCTAAACAAGTGTTTCAAAATACGTAAATTCAATAGGTATCGTCACGGTTGGCATGTTTTAACAAATTTTCGTTGTTCTTGACAAGTATGATATTTACTAATGTCCCATTATTTGTCAAAAGTAATTAGATAGTAGTCTTCATTCAACGCTAGCTTGTATCACAGGGGTGATTTCAGACGTTTATTTGTTCTTGCCGTGCTTAGCACATATAACCCTAAAAAAAGCCAGTGAAAATGTTGGGTTTGTTTAATATTGAATTTTTTTTCTTTCTTTCTAAGATTTATCTAATGATATCCCACGCAGGGGCTTTCACATCCATTTAGTTTTCATATCTCAGTTACAGATGTAGAGTAAATGTCTCTATCACAATTTGCATACCAAATTGAGTTTATAGAATTCCTCTTGGCTGTTCTAAGTTCTTACGAATTATCAAAACCGCAAGCGCCGCCTCGAAGGTCTGTTTAAGATAAAGGACAAAAAAAGTCTTTTTGGTCTAAAATAAAAACAAGGTGGTACATTTTGACGTGTATTAAGTAAACTTAGAAAAAGAAGCCTAAAATTTTTCCTCCAAGGTGTTTTCTTCTGGCTTCTTCATGGTCCATGATGCCACCACTTGTTGTAAGGACTAGGTAACTGTAACAATACAAAACATTTTATTTATTTAATGAAACTTAAGATCAGGTTAAGCACAAACCCAACACAGATGAGTAGCATTAGAGACATATAAATGTCTTGTTATTGAACATTCATCATTCAGTCTCAAAAATGCAATTATTATTATTGGCACTTAAACATGGTCTGACCACAGTACCAAAAACCATCCATCCAACATGTCAATCCATCCACTTAAGACATTCAGTTTCAATAAATTACACGGCAATCTATTGAAATAACAAATCTTGGGAGTGACCATAACAAGAATTTTTATATGGGGAAACCCTCACAGCCTTCCTAAGGTGAAACAGTTAATCATGACAACATTACAGACACTCAGTGCACTTCAAAAGCTGGCGATAATTTTTGGAAAGGTATGTTAGCAATTATAAAATAAAACAGTATAGTTTCAATGTTAGGGAGTATGGAATCGCTCCATTAGGATAATGAGTTTAAGTGCTACTGCCCCAACAAGTATTAATTTAAAAATACTATTATAACTTGAAAATTATTTAATTCTTCTAACTAAACTACTACTAACTAATGAAACTAAATACTAAACGAACTAATGAAACTAAATAACGCTTTACTGTGACTATTACTAATATTATTAAAAATACCAATTTCTTTAAAGTAGATGCCACCCATTGTGCATCATTAGTACTATGACAGAAATCTACACCGAAGTGCCAACAATTGCACCAACTTTCACCACAATCAAATGAAAGGTTTAAGAATCCATCTACATATTTGTCAAACATATTGTTTGTTATTGAGAACACAGAATTTTCCTGAAAGCATACATACAATCAAGGAGTGAGAATAAGTGAGCCTAAGGAGTGAGTATATGTTAAGCATTCTAGCAAATAGGGAACCACCACATTGGCTGTGTAGTTTACTGAAAGATAATATTTGCTTAACCTCAACTTAAAATTAACCATCATTTTAGATACTCTAGACTTTAGATAACTGCCCTCCGTGAGATCTAGATCTCTAGCAGGTGTAAGCATTTTTATTTATTTAATATATAAATGGGTATACTATCTCTCAAATTAATTAAGCCCATAGACATCACAATGTGAATGCTATCTCCTAGTATCAGTCATCTGCCAATTTTAGCTTATAATAAGTTGTATTTTTAATCAAAAAGCAATGTTTTAAATTAAAATCAAAATCTTAAATTGAATTTTAAGCATAGAATGTGATTTAAACTAAACTTAATGTGAATTCAAAGACAAAAATTAACAGTAAAAGATTAGTTAGGTTCATATTTGAAGGAAAAATTAAGCTATTGAAATACTGTAACTGTTTCAAAATCTCCTTTCAGGCAATGCTTTTAAAGAGTACAACAAAACTTTAACAGAAAACATTATTGAAAAGTTAATAATTACTTAACTGGTGGACACTATTGCGTGCTAGGGATGTACGTTACAATTCGATTTCTATGAAGATCAATTCAATTGAATACGATCTAGCGATTTTATGGATTGATTCATAAGTATTATAAAAACATTGTTAAGAAGAAAGATAGATTGCAAACAAATGCCGACACTATAATTATTTACATTATTAGGGAATTATACACTCTTACTTTGGCTTTAGATACTTTTGAGATTATTAGTAGCTAACATAACATTAAATGAAAGTCATAATAACTACTGCAGGAGGGGCTTTCAAATTATTATTTTTAAAAAGTTTGGACATGCAGGATTTCAAAATTGGTTCTTTGTTAAGTCAATTTTCAAGGTTAATGTTTTTTCCCCATTTTTCTTAGTAAATTTAATTAAAGTTTGTATTTCATAAAAATATTTTTTTTATTTTTTCTAATTGTAATTGCAAACTTTGACTTGATTTTTGAAATTCAAATGATCCAAAAAATCAATTCAAAGTGAAAAATCGTGCATCCCTATTGCGTTCTTTTGAGACTAGACTAGAATATAAATAAAACGCTCACAGAGCTTAGTGATATATTAATATTTTATCTCTTTAAATAGACATGGATATCACTTGAGTCAATTCCAGTATATAATAAAAGATGAGTTTTTGTTGCCGAATCTCTCATGATGCAAGAAAATAAAATTTGCATAGGTACAAAAATAATACTAAATAAAATCCATATTTTTCATCCGAAACCATTATTCAGCAAGTTCACAGATATTTTCCATCAGGTTTTTACTACAGTAGCAGACAAATTAATACAAGCCAATATTAAGCAAATGTTGAAAAATTCTATAAGTTATAAGTTTTAATTACATTTAAAAGTTTATAAGTTTATGACTTTAACTAAGGTACTACTGATCAGTTCATTGGTTAATTTTAAATGTAAGAAACAACACCAACAATATCTCTCATGTGAAAAAACATCATTAATGCATTGTTTTTAATTTACTATGGCACAACATATCAAATGACAACCAACAAGAGCTATTGGTGATCCGCGGTAGTTGTGCGTGATTGATTTTAACTATATTATTTTTTACTAAATAATTCATGAACTCTTACCCAAACTGTCGTGAGGGGAGCAGATTAGTCCATCTTTCAATATCGTTGATGGGAACATCAAAACGAGGTGAAATGACACCACACTTGTTTAGTCTGCCTGTGAGATTTACAACAATCTTGCCAGCTCTGTGATCATCAACGATTTCAAACTCTCCGATGTAACCGTGCTTCATCATCACTGTTAAAAACTTAACGATGACTTTGGAACAGGGCCTGATGAGGACTTGTCTTTTCCCTCGCTTTTCAGCATTATGTATAGATTTTAAGGCGTCACTCAATACGTTCATACGCACCATGGCTGAAATTTTACATATAACAATTTAATTAAATGTATTTTCTATCTATTTACTAAATGTTAACACAGCAACCAACTTGTCAAAACACCGTGAAACAAGAGGTTATCACTAGAATGTTAATTATTTTTATAACTTTTAAGTGGAAATAATGTATCACTAAGAATCGCAAAAGAATTCTCTTTATAAATCGTCACTGTTTGTATAATAAATAACGAATAAAACTGAGATTACCTAAGATTTAGCTCGCGCTTCGTAGCGAACCGAATTGACAGAACGGTCCAAAAGAAAAAGCATAGACTATACAGAATATATATATACTAACAAAGTTTAATGTAAAACGAAATGGTATAGGCGGCGGTGAAGGAAGCGAGGTACAGATAAACAGTTTTAAAGAGTTTTCACTTAGAACTGTTTGTAAAAGCTTATCTTAGTTAATTATTTATTTTATTTATATGTGACTTTTTCGCTTAGGAGAAAGTCGTAGCGGTAGGCGGGGCTTGTCGGAATTATCCTGCTAAAATCTCAGTCAGAATATTAGGCAAAAATTCACTGCCAAATAACCCAAATTGCCACAGATTTGTGAAACGAGGGCATGACATTACCCTCTCGTGAGAAAACTGAAGTGAGTCGTTTGTGGTGTGTGCTTTGAACCTTAATTCTTATATTCCCTATATTTTTTTTCCACAGGATAAAATCACCGGTTCCCCACCCGCACGGCAGGTGGGGTATGTGGGAGCCGAACCTCACTAAAAACTCCTGCCGCTCACAGCCGGCGCCCTACCCCGGAAAGGGCGGGAACCCAGTCGGAGCTATTGAGACGGCGGGACAGGGTTTACGCAGAGCACATTACATCCATCCCGCCGTCCCCCAGACGCCGGACCAGCGGCCGCCAGCAACATGACCGCCAGTTCCCTCGGTCGACGGGTCAAGAGCCCGATTTATAGCGCAGCGCTACACCTTCCCCCGGAGCGGTCGGGGGAACGCGACCTACCACGCCATCCCATGCCTAGGTTCCTCCCGGCACAAAGCGGGTGGAGCCCGAAGCCCTTAGGGGGCCGGGTTACGGACGAGGCACTTCTTGTATTAAGTGTTAATCTATGGACATTACTGGTATATAGTATTACTTATTAGCTTTAATGCCGGCCACTCACATGCGCGCGATCATTTGTACATTGTACGAATGTTCGCGCGCATGTGAAGGGCCGTCAGACATTCATTCGCAAACTTAACGGCTGTGCAAATGGGTTCGGTAATCAATTTGCGAACCCATTTGCGCTTCCTCCTACACTTGTGTACGAATGTCTCACGAATTTCTCTTCTTTTTTAATTCGTTAAAAGAACATTGAAGAGAAAAAGAGTTTTTAATTCTTTCGTAGGCGTCATTAACGGTCCTTCTGTTATTATGGGATTTCTTTTGAGGGTCCCATATGGTCGATTCATTTTGCAGGAGTTCAATGAACTCCATCACCTTGGTGTTGTTCCAATCCATGATGAAGGTACGCTACACAGTAGACGTCACGGACTATGAAAATGGCGAACCGTCCGTTACCTTCGCAATCGTGGGCGCAACTGGTCACACGAATGTATGGGAGACTACGCGATGGATCGGGGTTCGCGCGCTTTGATATCCGTTAAAAAACTGACACAGCTTGGAAAACCGCGAATTCAGTTAAAACTTTGCATAATCATTTGCAAATGTCGTCCTACACTTGTGGGTTTGCGTATTTGTGCGAATGTGAGTGACCGGTATAAGAATTATAATAGCTATGGAGGGTAGAAGGAGCACCATCTTAGTGGCTTAGAAACTATCCACCGAAAGGAAACAATTTAAGATGGCGTCATATTAGCAAGTGGAAGATTTTAAAAAACAGTATATTATATGTTGGAGTTTGAATATGAAAGTAATGGCCGGCAGCACTTGACACATGTAAGGTTACAGATTTCGAATATTGGAATTATATATATGCTTAAAACAAATAATTGTCTTCCCGTCAGTGAAGACAATGACTTCTCATCTAGACACGGACAGAGCAACATCTAAGAGTTATAAAAAGATAAAATATTATAATGGTGTAACAGTGTTCAAAGTATTTGCAATATTAATCATGAAGCAGAGTGTTTTTTAAATAGTCCCTCATCACCTACAGAACCCAGTCCCCTCAAACTTAACCGTCCAACATTATACTACCACACTTCACTGCAATCCAGCATACTTCACTCTTTTTAAAACTCTTAAATTCGTATCATTTCCAATTCCGACACTAGCGCTATTAGGTGAGTTTTCCAACAAAAACTTGCTGTTTACAACTGTACACTTTTTCAACGTGTCCCTTAAACAAGACCGTGTTCCTTACTTCTACCCTCCATAATAATAGAAGACAATATCGAAAAAAAACAGATAGATTATGTGGCGAACATCACTATTCCACAGAAACAAGCAGCCATTCATCTATCAACAATCGAAATCAGAGTATTGCGAAACAGTATTTTGGAACTACATATTCTCAATATTAAAACTCAAAATATTTCGTATTTGAGAATAATTCTCACACTAGCTTGAAACAACTTGAGATCAAATAAAGACAGGAAATATATATCTTTATTCCCCTTTTTTTTTATTGCTGGTTTTTATTGATGGTTGGACGAGCTCACAGCCCACCTGGTGTTAAGTGGTTACTGTAGCCCATAGACATCTACAACGTAAATGCGCCACCCACCTTGAGAATAAGTTCTAAGGTCTCAAGTATAGTTACAACGGCTGCCCCACCCTTCAAACCGAAACGCATTACTGCTTCACGGCAGAAATAGGCAGAGTGGTGGTACCCACCCTCGCGGACTCACAAGAGGTCCTACCACCAGTGGTAGTTATGTAATTAAATTATCCCCTTTAGTGGTACTTATGTAAATAAATTATTTAAAATAATGACAAAAAAAAACACATGAAAACATAACATAATAATACCCTGTTTCTTATTTCTTTCAATGTAGCGAATGTTTAATTATTTCATAGATAGAGATTTCCAACTATGTAAAACATTAACATTTGTCCTGTGTGCGTTCCTAAACTATTCATCCGATTCTGCTGAAATTTGATAGAATAGTTTTGAAATATAGTTACTGAATGCCAACGACATCATAACGTGAATGCCGCCATCCACATTGAGACAAAAGGTCTAAATCTTAATAAATAGACGTCGAATCTCCAAGCCAGAACATTCTACAAACTAATCTGTGCATGCTACTGCTGCTGGGACTTAGTATTCTTAGAGATGTGAAAATTATATTATGCATTATTAGGCTTTAAGGTGAAAGTACAAAACGTGGAAAAATAGCAAATGGCTGCCATTTATTGTTTTACTCTCTGTAATGGTTCAATAGCGGTACAATAGCCTAGATGGATTAAAAGTCTATTCCTATCAATAAAAATAAAAACAAAAACAAATGAAATGGATTGCCATACTAAAATAAAACAGAGTTGAATAGTGAAATTATTTATGCCAAATACCAAATTTTAATGGACTAGATAGATGCGTGGTCTGGTAACACTTTTCAGTTGCGTCCTTTTCTTCGGACGGTTGTTACGTATGTTTATCATTGTTGACTTGTGAAATGAAGTTTGTAAAAACTTTCGAAGTTCATAAAAAGTTATAAATTCATGAAATATAAAAGCAAATGCTCAAATATTTCAGAAATGCGTAAAGTACAGTTATTTTAAAGAAAATGAAGTTTTATATAAATTGTAAAGTTGAGTGAACTTGTAAAGTTGTGTTATGTGTGAGTAATCCCTTGTTCATAGGTGCAAGGCGAGCGAATTCTACAGGTGTGAATGGAATGTTGTGGACTTTGAAAGCCTAGCAACGACTAACTATTACAATGAAAGTTCTCATTACTATTAAATTACCTGTAAATTTAATTTAATCAATTAATGCAATGTAACACCAAAAGTGAACAAATTTTAAATTACGAAATAATGATGGAAGAATTAGAGCGGTGGTTCAAAATGAATTCCTTGCTATGTGTTAGTATTTTGCTAACATTATTTTTGAGTTTAGAACTAACGTCATCTGCAGATACGAATGGTAAGTTTAAAACTACATGAAAAAAGCCTATTTAACAAATTAAATTATATTTAATATGTAATGAAAGTAAACTCTTTATTCAGAAAATATTTTATTTATATCTTGTAATGTTGCTCAAAACTGAAAGAAACGTTTTGTCTTTACTTTGAATATTACTATAACAGAAACATCCAACATTAATGGTCTCCTCGGTTTCTATTTAAAAATACCATTAATTAACTTCATATAGTGCTTGCATGTAGTAAGTAAAATAAGTTTTTCTAGACATTTATAATCTATATCTATACTTCTAAACTAATATTATAAAGAGGAAAGATTTGTTTGTTTGATTGTATTGAATAGGCTCCGAAACTACTGAACTGAATTGAAAAATTTCTTCACTGTTTGGAAGTTCCACTATTTCCGAGTGACATAGGCTATAATATTTTTTGAAAAAATTAGGGATCCTTACTAAAACTCCAATAATGTAACCCAAGGTGTAAAAAAAATTACCTAAAATATTCTTTACATCGCGTGCCCTGCGAAAACTATTGATGATAGAATAAAATAATGTACTATGACTTTGTAGAACACAATTATTATTTACAAAATGTGTCACGACAGCATATGTCTAACTATCATATTTATGGTGCAATAAGTGTTATTTTAATTAAAAAAATAAAACGACATTAAATATTGTTGAAATTTTTGTTAAAGACCCCAGCGGAGCCGGAGCAGGCTGCTAGTTGCCTATAAAATTAATGTTTGCTTCTCATTCATCTTTTTATCTGTTGTTACCATGATGTATAGCAGTGTTTTATCATTTGCACCTGATGAACAGATAAATTTACAAAAAAATTGGTATTAAATAGTTAATCTATTACAGACGCGAAAATCAGTTGTCTGACATATCAAACTCATCAGTGGCTACCATAATACTAGCAGATTTTATTTTGACTACTTCATCATAGAAGTCGCTTGTGAACAAATATTGGTCTGTATTTCCTGTGCCTGTAATAACTGTACCTGGTGTAGTTTGGGCCATAATGACATATTCATGTGGCTGTCATTTGCATAGTAACTGGTATTGCTTGTATTAAGTGTATTATTTACGGGCACTACTAGTATAGTAGCAAAGAATATTGGAAAATACAGATAAATTATGAGGCGGACAACACTCATACAAAGGGTAATAGAAACTGTTACTCATAAAAAATGAAATATTATCAAATTCGAGCTTCAGAGCATATGAGCTGTTCTCTACATGGTTGTGCTATTGAATTATGGCCTCTTTGCTTATGGCTAGTAGGGATTTTGGGCATAAATGCCATCACAGATCAATATGAATTAAGAAAAACACTGTTAATAATGATCATAATGCTTTATACTAACCCAAAAGCATTTTTTTAGGTTTTCTAATAAGGGCACAAACATACATAGGACTTCATATTGGAATCTAGATCATTTTAAATATTGTTGTACAAAAAGTCTGTTTTACTTAAATGTCACATAATATTCAATTTAGATTATAAAGCAGTTATTAGTAAGTAAAGCAGTTAAGTGAGAATGAAAAGTCTTTATTGTGATGGAAATTTCATCAGCATAGGTAAAATTAATCACATCCAGTTCCATATCAACATAATTAGTAAAAATTTTTTTTTCTTAAACCATAATTCTTGCGCATTAGAACACAAAATTGAAAATGGTATACTGTGATTTAGTTTTTACTGGTGGTAGGACCTCTTGTGAGCCCGCACGGGTAGGTACCACCACCCCTCCTATTACTGCCGTGAAGCAGTAATGCATTTCGGTTTGAAGGGTGGGGCAGCCGTTGTAACTATACTGAGACCTGTGAACTTACATATCAAGGTGGGTGGCGCATTTACGTTGTAGATGTCTATGGGCTCCAGTAACTACTTACCACCAGGTGGGCTGTGAGCTCGTCCACACATCAGGTGCTGCTAACACTGGCCCTAGCAAGAGCAGTGTTTCGCAGAATCTACCACCAGATTGGAAACGCGACCCACTGAAAAGATCCAGCGAGAAACTCAGCGAGCTGTGTCTATGGCTTAATTTACTCGCCGAACGCCTCGTCACAAGCGACGTGTTCGATGAGAACGGTAACCTGTGCTTGAGGTACCTAAAAGCACCGTTCATGGATCGGGAGGATCCGTAATCACGTGTTTAGGGCGGCGCCGATTGTTTACTATTCGGTCCACAGGATCGAGTATGTAATTTTCGGCGGACATGACAAGAGGGTTTTCGTGTCGTACCGCCTTCTTGGCGCATTGATGCCGACTATATACTTACTGATTGTCAATACTTACTGACTCAAGCTCCAGGTCATTATGAAGATCCACATTCCTTAAGAACCACGATGCTCCGACGGTTAACCAGCAAAAACGGGATTGATGTCAAGCTAAGGTCACGTTAAGCAGTACAATTTAAATACACATATTCTATCATTATGTTTTTGTTTATACTTATTTGTCATATTGAATACGTAATATGCATTGCTGGCAACTGTTACTCAGTTTTAAAAGTAAAGTAAGATATCCGGGACCTTTGTATGTGCTGAAATTTTAAAGGTACCGCCATTCGTCATTCTTTTATTCATTGTTTGAACGATTAATTGTTCAAATTTTTTTAAATCATTTAATAGGGTATTTTTGTTTATTCGTTGAAATTCCGCAGTATCATGAGCAGTTTTTAGCGTGATAAGTAGTAGTTGACAACATAAAGAATAGAGGGATTATACTAATACAAACTCTTCAACCTTCTATTTTAGTGTATAGTTTGGGCACGAACCCACGGCCGCAGCCCATCTGAGCTGTTAAGACAGCCTATAAACATCACAAAGTGGATACTACTGTCCACCTATATGTAATACGGCTATCTTAGTATAAACCCGAAATAAGTTTGCTTCGCGACAGAAACAATTAGAATGGTATCAACCTTCTGTTTTCACAATGTCCGCCCCATTACGTCTTCTCATCTGTATAATGTGTATTGTATACTATGTACTGAAACCACGGAATTCTCTATTTGAATATAATAGTGATGTGTGAGAGTTTCTATTTCTACATGTGCATAGTTCGCCCTATTGTATAGACGAGAAAAGTTGTTATCCTGGGGATTTCGTTTCTGAAGTTGCACTTCTTACAGCAGCAATTACTACTTAAAGCCTACTGAGTTTCTCGCTGGATCTTCTCAATGGGTCGCGTTTCCGATCCGCTGGTAGATTCTGCGAAGCACTTCTCTTGCTAAGGCCAGTGTTAGCAACATCTCGAGTTTGAGCCCCGAGAGCTCACCTACACGCCGGGGTAACGTTGATATAGCCTCTCAAGGCTATCAGTATAGATAGGAAAAAAAATCTACTTAATATATCCTGCGGGGGTCGTTTTTGTGAAAATTTTATAATGGTAGAGAACCCTTTTTCGATTGCCTCGAAAGTCGTTCGGTCACTGTTTTATTGGCAGCTGGGATTTCGTTTTACTTGCGTTCTGAAATTAAATTCTTTATAGTTGGATAGGTAGCTAGTAAATTTTGTAATTATTATGTTATAGTTTATATGTATAGTTTAATTAATTTTAGATGCAAATTGAAACAAACACAATAAGAAACGACAATTTTTTTTATTTAAAAACAAACGAGCTTCTCTAACCCACTAAAAAATAATTAACAAAATGGACAAATCCGTTAATGAATACCTGTAGTCTATGTATACTCCAAAAAATACTACTTACTACTACTACCACAATACAAAACCGAAACAGAACTTATACTTCGTGGCGAGATTTACATTGTAGATGTCTATGGGCCGTGAATTCGTCCACCTAGGCAATAAAAAATAAATACTGTTTCCATACATTCCAAACATCATAAAAAAAATAGGGACCACTGACTATAGTTTACACGGTGCACCTAAAAACAACATTAGTGTTGGGCTAACAAAATACTTATTTTATTGATAAGTACGTAATACCCACATTAATCGACATTTCTAACCGTAAAGTGTTGAAAACTCCCACCTCTATCTAGTCCGAGCGGTCTTCGGTCCGCGTTGATGCGTTTGTCTGTCTCGGTGTTTCAATTTCACCATAGGAGAATCCCAGATGTAAGCGCGAAAAATAGGCCCTTTAATACTAAAGATAATAATAAAGAGGCTTTCAGAGGAAATGCAGGTGCTAAAAATTAAAAGAATAGGTTCTACACAGTTATCTCGCTGAGTTTTTCAACAACCTTCTCAGATAGTACACGACACAGACAACTCTGACTGAAAATAACTAAAAAATCTACACTGAATATTCGAATTCAATTTTTTCCTCTTCAAAAGTGGTCTGATTTTTTTTTACATAACTTAAATCACAAAGCTCCCGTGGGGAGCTCGAGACTTCTTTGCAAATACTCAATTATATTGCATAATAAGGGCTGTTGTATCCTGTAAACCGGAATGAATGACCGCTTTGCTGCAGAAACAGGCAGGGTGTAGGTTCGCACTTACCGTTGCAAGAACACAATACGCGCTACCAGTAATTTCGCAATGTCGTACATTTTGGCGAGTTTAATTTTTATTTATTTAATTTTTATGAAAAGAATTGTATGTCTGAGTATTGGCACTGTTTGAACTCATTAGGTGGCGCTGCAATCAGATTACAGTGTTTTTATTTCCAAAACAAGACGCCTGCAGCAATGGTTCGGATTATGAAATACAAAAACTCTAATGTGATTATTGAAGGGAAAAAAACGAGAAAGTATATTCGTTGCAAGGACAAAAACAACAAGTATTAGACTTTGGTAAATCTGATAAAATGGTTGGCATCACTATAGAGAGTATGTTGTCAAATTACACTTGTACCAGGCTATTTATTACATCCGCAAAGCAATTCTAAACTCAAACTGATATAATATGTCAATTTATTTATATTATTTAAAAAATCCCTCAGTCACGATTTCTTGACCCCAGGTGGAGATATGACTGAAAAAGACTGTATAACTGTATTCAATAGTCTTGGTACTAC